TAAGGAATTTAATTATATATTTACTTCAGGTTCCTTTTTCCATGGATTTACGTATTCTGGGCACCCGGTCTCATGTGCTGTTGCACTCGAATCATTGAAGTTGTACAAGTATGATTATCTATATAGTTCTCAGTTATGAAGTAAACTTTCAACTGCTTACTGCGTGATTATGGATTGTTAAATATTGGTAGAAGCTGATGTTATCTTATTTTTCTAGGGAAAGAAATATTGTTGAGCGAGTAAGAAACCTTACACCAAAATTTCAGGACGGAATGAGAACTTTTGCTGACAGTCCTATCATTGGGGAGGTATCTTAGTGTTCTAGTGGTTTTTTCCGTCTCTTTTTCAGTCTAGTGTGATAGTGTGTGCTGTTGCGCGCTGCTAGCTTGCACTTAATAATGTTTAAGTAATTTTGTGCTACAGATAAGAGGAACTGGCTTAAATCTTGCAATTGAATTCACTGACAATAATTCACCAAACGATCCATTTCCTTCTGAATGGGGCAAGTTTCCTGTTTCCTGTTTCCTGTTATCTGTTTTCTGTTATCTATCAGTTGATTTCAGTAAAATTGTTATCAGGCTTACTCCAATCTGTTCTTGGAGCGCAACTGATTCATGTTACTCTATTCTGTTTAGCCATCTCACAGTCCTGGACCTCCTTGTCATCATTGATGTGCAGGAGTAGGTGCATATTTCGTGACACAATGTCAGAAATACGGTATGATAGTTCGTGAGGCCGTTGATAACGTTATGCTATGCCCTCCACTAATTATCTCTGAAGAAGACATTGATGAGGTAAAAATTTCCGTTAACTAAAATAGTTCTTAAACTTCTGTACCATACTGATTTTTAGCATCTTCTGATACAATTTTGCATCAGTTAATTAGCACATTTGGAAAAGCACTTAAGGATACTGAGGAGAGAGTGAAGGAGCTGAAAGCCCAGAAGCAGTCTGATTTTATGTTTTAGAATTGAAGGTGCCTAGGGATGACATTGTAATCATTGTTAAAACAATATATAAAAAGCATCATTCCCCCTTTTATTATCATTTTTATACTCCACTCGTCAAGAGTTAATAGTCGCATAAAATCCATATTTTGAAATACTAATTGAAAAAAGTTTCTATCTTTATTATGTATAGAGTAGTAAACTAGTAAGTAGTAACTAATCATTGATTTGTTATTAATTTTCTCAATGTCACTACTTAATTACTGAAGGATCTTTTTGTAAAATGTTAATATATCTTTAATGTTGAGAGATAAAAAAGACGCTAATTACGTAATTCAAGTAAAATGGGCTTTGGGTCTAGTGATCACTAGTCACAAAGGACACACAAGCATGTTTGTGGAGTCGTGCAGAAAATTGAAGTTGCAAAGTAGCAAATCATGTATTCTAAATTTTGATTTTTTTAACACCACAAAAAATTCAAAAAATGGATTTTATCATCCGTTAACAGATTTCATTAAGAATTCGTTAGTGGGGACCATAACGGTTACATGTCGCCATGATATTATTGGTTAAAAAAAAAGGAAAAGCTAACCTAGACACCCCACCCCCACCCCCATCACCGGCACCCCTCCCCCACCCCACTTGCGCAGCCGTCGCCCTGTGCCCCACCTCCAACACACCCCTTCCAGGCTCCAGGCCAGCCATTGAAACCTGCCCCCCTCCCTTGTCCCCACCCCAAAACCGGCAGCCACCCCTTCCCTACCCAAAACGGCCATCCGTTTTTTCTAACTCCTTAATAATAACCACCGGAAATGGCCTCTAGCGTTTTAGGGTCGAATTCGACCACCAAGGCATTACTCCACGAAATATGTAAAATGCACATGCATGCATGTGTGGAGAATGTGTATGGTGTAAGTACTACGGACTAGTTAGTAGGAACTTGTGCTCCTTTTTGAATACTAAAATACGATCATTTGCTTTGCTTAAACTCGTCAACTTTGAGAATATAATGCCTGTATATTATGTATATGCTTTTCTTAAGTTGAGATATGTTGTTCTTCCAACCTTTGTCAAAAATTGGATGATATCTTGGAAAATTATTCTACTCCTTTTACAATAAATTTTTGAAGTTAATACAATCAATTAATAAATCTTAATCTTATATACTTTGTACTTGTATAATTTTTATAAACTATACAAGTACATATGTTGGCCTTTTCAATTCATTGGCATAATGACATAATGCTAATATGATTTGACCTCATAATCTACGTTATAAGGTAATTTTTAAGTAACTACATCAAATTAAATCTTTCACAATAAATTGTGCGAGATTAATTATGTAGTATAAGTTTTTTTTTTTAGGATATTTAGTTAGTTTTGCTTATTCATTCAATCATTCTTCTCTAATACACCTTTCAATATTTCACTAGTGTGTGACCCGGACTTCGCTCGGGGTGATATTTTGAATAATTTCATTTTTGTATTAGACGCTTTAAAAGATTTATTAATTTTTTTAAGGTTGGTAAATAAGAATACAATAACAACAATAATTTATTTTGGATTCTTTTTGGTTTTTAATCTACATTCTAACACATGTATGTATTTGTATATGAATGTGGGTTAATAGAGCATGATTTAATTCTAGCTAAGATGGTAATGCATATGGTTTCCATTTAATGAGGTTCGGGGTTCAAATTTTTTTTATATGAATTTTTAATTAAGATAATTGAATGATGATGTGGTATGACGCTAAGGTTGTTAAATGGTGATGTGGTGTGATACTGATATAAAGAAGGATACACGTGGCACATACACAGTTTTATAAACGCCTTTTAATATGTAGTATAGATAATGCCTACATTACATTCTAGTTCTTTTTTGTTTTTTACTCACACGCATTTTACATGTGATTGATATCAAAAACAACAAACTTTAGAAACCTATTAATTCAATTAAGAGAGGCACAAAGAGTATGAGCCTATTAAATTTCCAACTTGTACGCCATTGGATGGATTTTTCAACGGGTACTTTACACTCGTTATTTACTTGAACTCAATGTAATCTTTAATTATTAATTTATCTAATTTTATTTATTATATTACAAAATAATAAAAAGTTAGTTTTTAAAAAAATATGTTAAAACAAATCAAATAAAATCTTTCGTGATTATGTAGTATGTATAGTAGTCTATGTAACAATAAGAATTTATGGCCAATGCTTAGATTTTAGATACATAATCAAGAGTGTTAAGAAATTTCAAGATCATAAGTAAGAGTCCAATGTAGTATCCAAAAATCAAGATAATATCAATCAAAGTAACACATTGGCATATGTGCAGGTCAAAGATAATGAAGACTATGGAATACTTAAAAAAAAATTAAAAAAAAAATGAAGCATGTACAATTAGTCAATTACTCAACTTTTTAGCAGCCCAACTTCTAACACTATACTACACTATGTAATCTTTACCCTATTCACATGTGATACTCAAAATCTCGAGTCAATATCTTGACAACAAACACACACGATCTGTTAATGTTGATCTGGTTGCTCCGTCTCCGTCTAGTCGGCAGTCGCCTGCTCCGTCTCCGTGGACGGTGGACTCCGTCCTCTTCGCCTCAGCGCCTCTAGTCTTCGCATTTCGAAATCGCTAGTGCCTAGTAAGTTGATTTCTAATTTTTATTTTTAATTTCTAATCTTCAATTTAATTCAGTCTAATTAGTTAATTTTATTAAACTTTGGTTTAAACTTTGGTTGATTTGTAGTTAACGCAATTTAACTCACGCGGTCACGCCTCGTCGCCTACTCGCCTCAGTGCTGCTGACTGTTGTGCCGCCTGTGCGGGTTGTGCTGATGACTTGCTGAGTGTTGGCCGTGGCCCTGCTGCAGTGCTGTTCCGCCTGCTCCGCTGCTCGCCTCAATCAGCGCCTACCGCCTCCGCCTAGCAAGGTAGGTAATCATCAATTGATTCTTTTTTTTTTGTGAATTTTTGATCAAATTTGCATTACTTGTCTCTTAAAATTAGTATATACGGTGAATGTTCATTAAATTTGCATTATTTGTGTAAATTGTGTTTTGACTGTTAAATTGAACTTATTAGTTTATCTGTTTATGTCATCATGTGAAATTGTGAATATGTGATGCCGGACATTGTATAAGACAGCAATTAGACTATTAGAGTATTAGTGTAAGGAGGATTATAAATTTATAATTAGATTACATTGTGGACTGGTTAGTGCTTAGTGATGCTAGTCGCATATTCGACTGGAAGTTCCGTATAGACTAAATGGAGATATTAGATTGGAAGTTCCGTAATCTTGTCAATTTTCTATTTGGATGATCTTTGTAAATAATTTTCTTGGGGAATATTGCTTGATTTAGTTGAATATTTATTCAAATTTCAGAATGAAGAGAAAACACATTCTAAATGAAATGCAAAACATTACTAGCTTCTTTGCTAAAAAGAATCCTACTCCAACTTCTCTTCCACATCCAACACAAAATGAACAAACTATATCTCCACCTCAAGAAAGTGAACAACTTTCATCTCCATCTCATTATTCAACTCAAATGTTGAATGATTGTTTAATTACTTATTTGGAGAATGATTTGTTTTTGAATGTTAGTATGGAAGATATCATAAATCGATATCAAAACATGAAAACTCGTCGAGAACTATTGTAATAAGTTTGCATTACTATTTAATTGTCTTTTGTAGTATTACATGAACATTTGGTTGTATTTTGTACTATTTGAATATTTAGATGTATTTTTTAGTACTATTATTTGGTTGTTTGGTAAAAAAAAATTTTTACATATTTGATTATCAATTGTGATTCACCAGTCGGAAATTCCTGGGTCCGCCACTGCACACGATATATATAGTATACAGTTGGTCTACCTTTTGTCCTCTTTCTTAAGAAATATATGAAAATGAATTATAAGGTGTACTAATCACAGAAGAAATTTATATATCATCAAATAAGGTCAAGTTCTCATAACACAACATTAATTACTCATGTCACCTTTCGTACACAAACTCATTTAATAATGATCATCAAAAAAATTCATATTCATAATTCATAATAATAATAATAATAATAATTCATTTTCCATCAACTTCATCCTCCAATTTTTTCTAGATTCTTTAATTTTTCACATAATCTTTCTCTCATTTTTCATACTTATATAAATATATAGATTCTTCTTCTTCTTTCATCAACCCCTCTAATTTTCTCTCTCCTCTCACAAATTTTACATTCTAGAATCTTCGAGGAAGTTCGCTAATTCTCTCTCTAATTCTGGTAATCATCTTTAATCTTTGCTTTGATTTTCTGTAAATTTTCTGCTGTTATTTTTCTGTACTTAACAAAAAGGTGATGATTTTGTTTATTGTTTATTTATTGGTTGCTTTTTTTCTGGAAAACGACATTCATGTGTTCTTGGAATTTTTTTTTTGGAATGATTTTTGTTGTTATTGTTAGCATGATTACTGTTGATTATGGCAATGTACTTTATGAACAACATTCTTGAATAATTTTTGCATTAATAATATATTTGATGCTAAATTTTGCATATAAATTGTTAGCATATTAATAATATTGTTCGTTTTGATTAGTATTAATTGTTAGCAATATTGCTTGCATTTTTTCGCCGAATTATGTGATAGATAATATTTTGAGTCGTTTGATTTGTTAAACCTGGAAATTTTTTGTTCAAGATACTTTGTATTAAGTAATTATTGACGATTTTCGCAAGAGCTGTATCAAATGAAAGATTATTTACTACTTATATGTCAAGAATTACATATTTACATGTCATATGAAATGATTCTATGAATAATGAACTGGTTATTCTGTTCTTTTGGCGAAATATTGTTGTTAGTGGAATCATATAAGGAATTAGATTTTGGAAATGGTCATTTTGTGACTAGATTTTACAGTTAGGGGTTCTAACTCTATGTCAAGAGCTATGTGTCCAACAAGTTGACTTAATGAATATTGATTTATTGAACGATTCATATCCTTCTTTCAGTGAATTATTGCTGTTAGAGGAATCATGTGTAAGAATGAGGAATTTGATTTTGGAAATGGTGATTTTGTGACTAGACATTACAGTGTCTTTGCGGGGTTCTAATTCTATGCCAAGAATTACATGTTAAACGAGATTTTGTATTGAATATTGAATACATAGTATTGTAACCCAATCCTATTCTTTCAGGGAACTTTTGTTCGTGGAATCATATGTAGAATATGTGGAATTAGATTTTGGAAATGGTAGCTCTTTTGTACTTTTTTAATCTATGTACTAAGGTCATAAATACTAATACATGATCCTTGTTGATCCCCTTGACAAAGATCTTGGAAGGTCCATATTGCTATGACGATAACGGACTACAAGAATTGGGTCACTGAGCTTTCGAAAGAGTATCAGTTTGAATATCCATGGGTTCCATTTACTTCTGTATTATGTGGTATCTTCGCCTGCAAATTGGTATGTCTTCATTTTCCCTTTTAAAGAGTTGATTGTCTCCTTTTTTATGTTCAATCTGTTGAACTGACCATTTTCAAATAGGTATATGATTTGTCTCACTTAATCAATGGTATCTGCTTCAAACACTTTTCCCTTTTAAAGAGTTAATTGTCTCCTTTTTTATGTTCAATCTGTTGAACTGACCATTTTCAAATAGGTATATGATTTGTCTCACTTAATCAATGGTATCTGCTTCAAACGCTACTCTACCCTTCTGAAGATTAAACAAATTGAATGGGACAATAGGTGACTTTCCAAAGGCTTCTTTGTTGATTTATATTAAGTAGTTCTCTCCAAAGCTTCCATTTTTTTACTTGAATTTTGAATATTTGCAGGGCTATATCAACTCTGCACGCAATCTTTGTTACAGCTGTGTCGATTAATTTGGCATTTTGGTCTGATCTTTACTCTGATGACCTACAACGGGGGTCCATCCTATTTCGAAGTTCAACGCTGTCAACATTTGGTTTAGGGGTATTTTTCCCAATCTTTGTAGTTTCTGCACCTATCAAACTCTTTGATGGTCTTGCTTTTCTTTTCCATTTTCTTGGAATCTGTGGGGTGAATTATATGCTTAATCTCATCATAGCTTGATTACTTTTACCATGTCCTTTCATTGATAGTCTCTGTTGGGGCCAGGTGATGGCTGGGTATTCAGCCATTCACTGGTATGTCTTTTGATAAATATCTAGGTTTCTAGAAATTATTTGGTCTGCATCAGTGTTGATTGTTGCCTACACACTGTGTCTGCTATATGGATGCTGCAAAATCAACTTTTTTTAATTGATTTAGTTTTGATAGTGGTCTTTCTAGGATTTGTGTCATATGTCACTGAGGAGAATTTAGCTTGGAGAGTTGGAGAGAAGCAGTATATGATCTTCAGGTAGCTTTATGTCTAGTAGGGAAGAACTCCTAATAAGTGTTGTTTGGAATCTAGAAATGAGAGCTGGATTGATCTATCTACAAAGAGTACAGACTACAAACCTCTTTTTATTTTTTGGGTTGGGGGGGGGGGGGGGTGGTTAGAATGAATGCCAAATTCCAGTCCACTGTTAATACATTTCTGAAACAATTATAATCTTTTACATTTTTCAAACCAGACCTTGAGACTGGGCAGATAGGTAAGGCAACACTGTAGCCTTCACCAAGCCTCTTGATTATCCTTCTTATTCATTCCACCTTTGCAGTGGAATCCTCTTTACTTTAGAATTGATGTGCTTATACTTATTCACAGGTGCTTACCTGTTTGGCACTTAAGACATCCAATTTATGTGAATTGGCAAGTTATGGATCTATAAAATAAGCAATGAATTGTTCCTGAAGAGAATATGGGATTTTGTTTTCTCATGATAGCTAGAGAATGGGAAACTGAGCCTCAATCAAATGAGGATAGTTTCCCACTGTTTAACCTTGAATCAATGCTATGTAGATCTGTTGTGCATACATGTTTACTGTTCATTGAAGGAAAAGTGCCAGAGTGGTGATAGATCACCATAAGGCAAAACAGGTAGGTAGAGAGATTTAAAATTGACAAATAGGTGCATTCACATAGCAAAAGTCTAAAAACTCTAAATTATGTGGTTGGAGGCTTAAAGTCAAATTATGATATTCAGAGTTGTCAATAAGGTTCATAGCTGTGGGGTTTTTTTTATGCTACATTGAGGTTATTGGACGCTTCAGGACATGGAATTTCCCATAGTATTTTTTGGTACGGTCATTTTTTTGTTATATACGAGAGTCAAATATGTTTATGTGAGCAGTATAAGTTGTGTAGGAATTATCTTAATTTTCTGGTCATTCTCCTCTATTAATTTAGATCCTGAAGTCTGCACTAGTCTCAACTATCAAGAAGATTGTATTAGGTGTACTAAGCATGAGCGTACATGAATCATTTTGGTTGATCTTATTAGTCAAGATTACATAGCCTCCTTCCAGCTATTACGTGCTGTTGTTCTGTTAATGAGCTTAGACTCGTTTGTCAGCAGTGCTAGTTTCCACAGTGCTCCTGAGGTTTATCATACCTGAAGTGTGATGACTGGCAGTGGCTTGAGCTAGTGGTTCCAGGATGCGGAAGTGGTTGTGATGGGTTTGAGACTTACCTGCTTTAGATGTAAAGGGTTAATTGAGTCAGTTGGGTTGATTATGTGTGAATTTTACCTTTCCAAAAAAAAATAATGCTGCCAATCTGGTTTTAGTGATCACTAGCTCACAGACTTAGTTACTAGAAGTATGATGATCAATCTTATATTGACAGTTTACACTATGTTTGAGTTTACAACTTATGTTTCATATGTCATTGTTGGTTTGGCAGGAGTCACCCTTTTGGTCATGTATAAATGACCAAGAATTGAGTCCTTATGTTAGTCTGTGATTAATTTTTTCTGTAATTGTGCATAATAAGTAAAAGTTTGCCGAGACCTTTTTTTAGTGTTTCTAGAGTCCTATATTCAAAGCTGAAAATATGATTGTTGGTATGATTTGAACTGGTGAAACATTCTTTAAAAGCTAGCAGATAGCAGCTTCCAGAAGTTAAGGGTGTGTATATAAGATCCAATTCCATACCTTAAGCTCATCAATTAAGTCCATTAGATTGAAGTTAAAGGGATGGCTGCTGGAAAGAATTAGTAGTATTTAGTAGGCCCTTCTTGTATTTGATGAATTCCAGTTGATTGGGCACAGTGGAGGTGATGATTGGAATGTGGACTCTAGTGATTGAGATTACAGACCTTAAGGGATTTCGGAACCAAATTATGTACTTATTTACTAATTACTAGTACCATTTAGAAGCATTGTAGAGAAAAATGAGAGTTAAGTTGCCTTCAGCATTCTTTGTGATGTTGACACGTTAATATTATGCATTTATGAGGCAAGAACTAGTCATATGTCGTAGATTTTGAATGTTTTCTGTGGATAGTATTAGGACACTGGTGAATTGTCTTCTTTGACCTATCACTTGGAATTTAGAAATTATTTACTATGTGCTTGTCATTTCTGACTTGTGAAGGCATGGAAATGGGGATCACTATAATATGTGAATATTAGCTTATGGGAGGATTTTTTTTCCTCAGTATCATTAATACAATGTGTCAACTTGATTATATTCTGTTCTTGTCAACAATACTGTGGTAGAATTTCAAATTTATGCTGTGTCTTGTCTACGTTGACAGGTTTCAGTTGGATACTTCCTTTCTGATATTGCCATGATATTTTGGTTTTATCCTGCTTTAGGTGGAATGGAATATGTAAGTAATACCTTAACTTTATGTTTCACCTTATATTGATGTATCAATGGAATTTAAGCTAGCTTATTAGTTTAAGCTGCTAAGCTTAAAGGAAGCAACAAATGCTTGAGCATGGAGGACCAAATGTTGATATCATGTTTTTTTTTCTAAAATTTAAAAAGAAAAAGACATATTTTTACCCATATAGTTCATCTTTACAGGTGCTTCATCATCTTTTGTCAATGGGAGCACTAGCATATGCTATGTTGAATAGTACAGGGCAATTCTATACATATATGGTTCTTCTTTCTGAGATAACAACACCAGGGATCAACATGAGATGGTAAATCTCTTATCATTTTGTAATCGTGTTAATCAGGAAAAATTTGTTCTGCCGTTCCCTTGTATATGATGTGAAGCTTTTGTTGCTGAAGGTATCTCGATGCAGCTGGGATGAAAAAATCCAAAGCTTATGTTGTTAATGGAGTGGGTATATTCTTGACTTGGCTGGTGAGTACAATGAGAAGGCCTTTTATTGAAATTTAATCATTTTCAGTTCTTGTTCACCTTATTCACTACACTGTCTACATATATAGTTTTGTATTGTCTAGAAACTGAATTAAATTGTGATCATATTATGGGTTAGATATGTAAGCTAAGTTGGTGTGATTTATACAACCACATTTTGTGTTTAGCTTGTCAAAATTGCTTCCTGAAATCTTTGCTTTGCTCTGTTGCAGGTTGCTAGGGTTCTTCTGTTTATGTACGTGTACTTTCACATCTATTCGCATTATGATCAGGTAAAGTAATGAAGCTCTTGTAAGTTCATACTCTTATGTTTTTCTGATAGCATGCGTATCCTGTCATAGAAACTACCCATGTACCAAACGTAGGAAGATTTTCAAAAATTAATATGAATCATCAGATACAAATAACACACAGCTGGTTCATGTTAGATGAGATTGTGGCACTAAGGTTGCATTTTACTTAATATTCTCTTCTGACAAGGCAAATTTATTTTAGAGTTGTTTTGAGCTTATTGATTTTGTTGGGTAGTGTCCTTAAATGAGGATGGCGATTTTGATTGCATACAATTATACGCATGCAATCATGAATAAAGCCTAAAGTAGTTTGGGGGTTACACATATCATACAGGTTATAGATAGTGTATATCAGACCAATTGACCTCAGTTAACGAAACTCTTTTAACTTTTGTCATTTTGTTATCTCATTTTCTGTCCTTTACGTCTTCTTTACTTCACTTGTTTTTCAGATCAAGCAGCTGCCGTGCTTTGCATATTTACTTACTCTAGTTGTCCCGTGTGTGCTTGGAGGCTTGAATCTGATGTGGTTTGCAAAGATTACGAAAGGAATGATTAAGACATTGACTGCAAAGAAGGATTAATGTAGGTCAAAATTGCATTTGTTACTCTGCAACTCTGTGCATACTCTTTGTAAATGGTATAGAAGGTAAATCAAAATGAAGCTGACTGATATCATACTGAAGCAAAATCTCTAGCAGGCTGGGTATGTGATAGAAGACATTCATAAACTGGTGTACAAATGAAACAGGATCAGTGAATATGCAGTGGTATTTTGTACACTTTACACGATAAAGAAAAAAAAATAGTGTATTCAAAGAGAATTTCTTCTGATACGTCCTCAACTCTTGTATATCAACATTGGATGTATATATGTATAGACATCCTCATATTTATAAGCTTGGTTCATCTTGTGAAACGAAGTCCTTGTGGTTCTGAAAGCATAAACCAATACTTCTTACAGGTTGCCTAGTCCAAATAAATTTGATGATCTTAAAATGATCTGATATTCAAATGATCAGACATGGTTTATTAAGAGTTTATGACATATTTTGCCAACTTTCTTGATGGTATGCAAATATATGGCTATAAAATTGGTCTTGCAATTTTAGGGTTTGAACCAATATTATTCCCAAAGACCACCAAAATTTTGCTACAAATAATTGGTCTCACCATTAAATTCCTGATACAAAGGCACTTTGCAAACGGAGTACATCTTTGATTCTTTACCTTGCCACAAATAATTCTTTGCTAAAGATATCATTAAGAGAAACATGGACTAGATTTGTGTCAATCACTTTGATGGCCTTAAAAATGCATATTATTTCGAAAAACAAGGGGTAATTTACGTTGTTAATGCGTCAAATATTTTACCATTTTTTTTTTACACATCAAATATTTTACCATTAAATTGCTCTAAGCCTCTAATTGGATGAATTATTCAGTTCTATATCTTGAACCAAGATCAACTCTAATAGAAGTACATGGAACAATTCGTGTTTATGCAAATGCCTTATCTTTCCCGTGTTATTGCTAGTTTGTACGAGGTATTACATTGACTCAGTTGACTGTTGAGCTTGAGTTATACCGATTTTTCTCTACAAACAAAAGTTTTGAAAGAATTTATGTTATATATAAATGAATATTGATGTTTATCAAGATTATAACTCTAATAACAATCTTATCCTTAAAATTTATTTAAATCCGTTTAGCACTAATTTATTTATTACTCTAAATTTTTTTTGTAGGCGAGGAGAAGACGCCCTATTAAACCGAAACCTCTTACAGGTCAACCCAACCCGAGTTAACGAGCAAATGCTCCTTAGAATTAAGAGAAAACGGTAAGAAATCCCCAATCCCAAGTTAATCCTAACTAAAATAGACCCACATCCTTATGGTCATAAAATACATTCCCTACCACTAGATCAAGTACTAGTTAGTTTTTATATTCCATACATGGCTAAATGAGACATGCCAACCTTTTGAAATTACAAGGGTAGGTACAACATCATACTACAACTATTTTATCCTAAAATTAAATTAATTAAGAATTTTATCTAACTATTTGAACTACCATTCCATATCTACAAGTCAAACTGTAAACTCAAGTTCAAGAAGAAAAGGAATAATGTTGAGTTTGATCGCCATTGCAATACTCCCTGTTATCTGTATCAGGGTATTGATTCAGAAGCCGCTTCGGCCACAGCTCACTCAATCAACACCACCACTTTCCAGGTATGTACTTAGTTATTACTATCTTATAAACATTGTTCTCTGCCTGTTTTATTTCTGTGCCACTTTATTATTTCACTTTTATTATTTAAAAAATAAAAGAAAAACATTATATTGTGAGAGCAGATATATTTACAAATTTATCTCGGAGATCAACTTGGATTTTCCCAAAACAAGAAAACTTCAATTAAAGAACCCAAAGTTTCAATACTTCGATCCTTGTTCTCATGTCACTGTTTTCTCAAGCTCTGCTGCCAAACTATGACAGCTTTACATTCAAAACTTCTATCCATATACATAGCTAAAATCATGTAATTCAACACAAAAACAGAAAAGTCCTCCAAACACGGAGGAAGAAAACCAAAATATATGTTTTCTCCTCCAAATTTCATTTCTTTGTCAACACAGAATCTGTTTCTCATCAAATTTGGCAGAATTAATTTTGGCAAGTAACACATAATTTGAGGTAATCAGATGAACATGATCCATCAAATCATATACTGTCATGATTTCACATAAAAATCAGACGATTAGTGGAACAATCTACAAGCATTGAGCAAAGACAATTCACACACGGGAAGAACTCTTCTTGGACAGTTCACTTTTGCCATCCTGCACTTCGTTTTGGGGATAAGACTATAAGGGTAACAATCAATCCCAGTACATCACTTGAGGTTTACTTATTCATTTCTTTTTCCTTTATTCACCCTCACTCCCTCAGCGAATTGAATGATATTGGGTGATTCCGCGCTTTGGAGGGAGCTTCCTCAATATAAAGAGAACCAGAGAAGAGGGTAGAATTTCCACCAACTGAAATGGAAAAGAAAAACAAGAAAATTTAGAATGTATTAAAGGTAAATAATACCCCAAGCCATTATTTCCCCTTTCTTTTCGTTAGCAAAAAGTAATGTAAAAATAGAAAAGGGTTAAACTCACCAGATAGTACATGAAATTGAGAACTGGATGATCTAAAACGTCAAGATCAGCGGCTTTATCAAAAGCATTGAAGCACATCTGCAACAGAGAATGGCCAGAATAGGAGTTAAACTCAATAAAGAAGACCCTTCAAATACTTCTCTAAACACACAGATTAGTTAATTTTTTTTATTTTGAAAAACGTTTCCTTGTTGATTAGATTTGTAAAGTTGTTTCTGGAAAGGCAAGAAAGCTGATGTTACAGCCTTTCAGATCAGTCAGATGAAACAAATTTTAGTCAGTAATTTAATGTAGTACAGAAAGTAATAAAGACCAGAAACTAGAATTTCAGATTGCCACCTCCAACAAGTGCATACCATTCACAAAATTATGATTCACTGTTTTCTAATAAGTACAGAAAAAACATGTATCAGTCCTTAAAGACACTGAGCACTCCACCTTTTTCAATTGCATCCAAACAAAATTTATGTTCTGTTTGCCTAACAATCATACTAGAGCAGCAGATTGCTACAGAGTATTATTTTGTCAAAATTCACAGCTTCATTGAGAAAGTCCAGAACATTGGCAACTTTAAAATCCTAGATTTATAAGCAAAATTAATGAGTGAAACTATAAAGCCTTAAAGAAAACACAACACTTACCATGACACATCTTACGAGGAAACATGTAAAACATATTGTGGTTACATAGCCAACCTGCAAAAAGTGCACAGCAAATAACATTATTAATCACAAGGAATGCCAATTTTCAAATTTTTTTTAAAAAAAAGGATCTGTGAACATAAACCCATCGGGAGAAGAGGGTTAAGACAGAGAGAGCAATGCACCTCCTGAAGCTTTTTACGTCTTCCTTTTGATTCTACAGGGAACCGTTGCAACATTAAGAAAAGCCTGCCCATAAAAACCATCAAAATGGAGGTATACAAATAATGATAAACAAAACTACAATTATAACAAGAATCTTCTTTGTATGTTCAGGATTTAAAAAAAAAAAAAAAATTGATGGATAAACACTTTAAAAAAGAAACAATCACTCCACCTAGAAGTTTAAAGCAACGGAGATAAACCATGGGAAACATGAATATTGCTACAAGAAGAAAGCAATATTGCATAATCATATATTTACATATACTACTGCTGAAATGAGACACCACAAGCTTTATGGAGCTCCATCACCAGGTGCAGAAGTGCGAACTACTCTTTCACTACACACAGGGATGCACCATAATGAAAAACCCAATAGAAAACTAAATCACCAAGAGTTGTGAGCAATTGTAGGCGCAGCAGAATTGAGCAATCATTTGAATTCCAGCAGATACTTCTTATTGTGGGATTGGGGGGGGTGTGTGGGGTTGCGCAAGATTTTAGGAGGCCACTAGATGAGAAGAGAAATAGAGAGATACAACAAAGAACCCATGTGATGAGAGAGTGAGAGAGAGAATAACCCAATTACCAAATAATATAACATTGCAATAAATTTGAAACTTCCTTAGAAGGGAAGTGTACTGTAATGGACTGAGCTTACTGCTAACTTACACACGCAAATAACAGGAAAATAGAGAGAAAAAGTTTGATTCTTTGGGTGAACTATATAATCTGATTTTTTTGTAAGTTGATTAAATATGAAGAACAAATAAAGATAGAAGCTTTAATATTGATTGATAATGGTGGAATGGTTACAAAAGGATAGGGTTAATAGCTTTAGGCTATCACTCTCAAAATAGCTTGAGGCTATCAATGAGCTTGAGGCCATAACTCTCTCTAGGTTTCCCTAATACAATTATCTGCCTATCTTTGTCTTTCCCTTCTCTCTCTATTTACACTAAAACTAAGGACTACTATCATAGTAATGCTAGACTTCCCAAATTACCCCTCCTAAGGCTAGGCTATTACATGTTCCAATATTTTGGAACATAGAAAGTATCAATCAGGTTTCCTACCACATTTCCAAGATAATTAGCGCCTTCTCTCAAATGAGAAGGATAAGTAAGGACAATAGCGTTGTTCATCATGATTCAAAAACAGCCAATCATCTTTCTCATAGACGAAATCGACACTCTATTCCTAACCGTGGTGCTAAGCGATAATTCAGCTCAATCAATCCAAGAGCAAGCATCAAACCACAAGGTGGAAGTGGTAAAAGTATGGTTTACACCAATGAGCTTGAGCTATTCAGTTTCTCAGCTGGAGCTACTATCAATTTCTCAGTCTTTAAAAACCTTCTTTTCTCGATCAACCACCAAATATAGGCTGAGGCACTAAGCTCAATATTGGCAGGCTTGCAGTCTAACAAAAGGCTCAAGCCTTGAAAAACCTACCAAGTATCATGCTCAGCCAATAGAGATGGTCCATTAGAGCTTCTACAGTTGTATTAAAGACACTATTGCTGAAAAAACCAGCAAAGGGAAACTATAAATCCCTTTTAAAATGTTGGTAAATTGCATGCCAATTTTGTACATGGTGTCAAAGGCTTAGAAGCTGACTGGCCTGGCATAGATCATAGCTCACATCATAAATTCATAACAGCTTATTTGGAAAAATTGGAAAGAGGATACATGTCAACCTTTTGTCCAAGGTTCCAGAAAAGCCAATTTCCTCCAGTACAACCTCCATTAACTGGGAGCAAACACATGAACTCTTCTTCATATTTTTTGCAAATTCAATGAAAGAAGTTGCAATTAATTACCTTCCTCCATAAAGAAGAAAACCAAGAGCTGCAAACAAAGACACGCCTGCCAATAACATGCACATACGAG